AGTACTCAGATCTTGTGTTACTATGGCTATGTTACGTGTTACTGATGCATATTAATTAATTATGGTTATAGTCAGTGTGCGAAATACAGGGGGGTCCGGGGGAGCTCGACCCCCCTGATTAACACCTGAGCCCCCCTGAAAGCCTCAACAGCTAAATTTGAGGGGGGTCTCAAATTATAATATTTATTTGTCACTTGCAATGGTCACTAAAATGTTTTTAAGCTTACTATGTCCAGTATTCATAATTCAAAACATTTATTCACATATCTTCTATTCTGGCTGCCAAAGCATTTCCTCGCATGGAATCGAAAACAGACGGCTCTTTACTGTTAAGCCCCAAGGTCCCCGCCAGCGGGTACTTTTTTAGTTTTTTTCACGACACTGTGTCTCAGGGGATCTTAATATTTAAGAACCTATTAATGTGTTCTACCAGATTAACGGGAATAATCTCAGATAACTGACGATACAAAATAAGAAGCATCTAAATGACCCCTGAGCGAAATATGCTAACGCACTTTGGCACAGAACTCAAGATAAAAGTACCCTTATTACTTATCGTAGCTGCACATAAAATATATCCGATTAAAGCTGAGGTTCCACAGATTATTTAGGTATATAGTATCATCACTGAGTGATCCGGACTCGCGACAGGGGAAGCAAACACAGACATCACAACACGTACCTTTACGGAGCTTCTAGGGAGATCGTCTCACCGTAGCTGTCAATCTGATCAAAAGACGTGTTCAATGGCATTAAAACCAGAAAAAACGCGGCTGAATCGGTTGATCCATAGGTTGATAATGTTTCTGGGTGATAATTTTTTTTATTTATAATCCATAATTCAATTTTTATGTAAAAATCTGAGAGTAAAACTTAGCTACTAATGGTAGCCACCAGAGTGGCTGCTGCTTCCGGTCTTGGCTATGCGGAAGTCTCACACACACATGTGTGAGTTCCCCTCGATTCCATTGGCTCTGACGGTTAGAAAGAGATGTCAATCAGCAAAATCGACCAAGGGGGGCCAGAGATATGGAAAATCCACCCAAATGACCCAGAAGTGGGTTTGTTTTTGCTAAACCTTTAAAAAGGTCACATGTCACTTGTTTTGCATCAATCTTGATACAGGGTACTTATGATATGTTGTAGTTTGGATTCCTAAAGCTTTCAGTCTACTAACCCATCATCCAAGGTTTTCACTATAAGTATTTATTTTTTGGACGGACACAATAATTTACATTTTTTTACTGTGTTCAATCTGAATTTACTTTAAAATAAAAAAACATCTATATTGATTCTGACTCTTCTACATCCAACTCACAGGTTTATCATTACTTTGAGAAAAAAGATTATTAATTTAACCCTTTTAGAAGATAGGGTCATTTGTTCTGGGAATGTCATTCTGGAGCCTGAGACCTGAACAACAGGCTCAGGGGTTAAGAGGGTTAACGGTCACGTATTCATTCATTCATATGAACGTCAGAATATAGAATTATTTGACGGCACCCCTGAAGACGCCAGACGGCGCCCCGGTTGAGAAACGCTGCTATAGACTACTGACTGTCTTGGCTTGCATCCATGGAATATTGTATAGGAGGCCTACTGCATATTGAGAAATCTTCGACCGGTATATTGCGCAATAAACGGGAGATGGGGACCCCCCGATTATTGACGGGTATTTTGCACTCTCTCTCATTTCTCTCTGTGTGTGTGTGTGTGTGTGTGTGTGTGTGTGTGTGTGTGTGTGTGTGTGTGTGGTGTGTGTGTGTGTGTGTGGTGTGTGTGTGTGTGTGTGTGTGTGTGTGTGTGTGGTGTGTGTGTGTGTGTGTGTGTGTGTGTGTGTGTGTGTGTGTGTGTGTGTGTGTGTGTGTGTGTGTGTGTGTGTGTGTTGTGTGTGTGTGTGTGTGTGTGTGTGTGTGTGTGTGTGTGTGTGTGTGTGTGTGTGTGTGTGTGTGTGTGTGTGTGTGTGTGTGTGTGTGTGTGTGTGTGTGTGTCCCAGGTGGTTGGATAAACTGGGTCTCAGTGCTCTTCTGGGTCTGGACCTGGTGATGCGTCAGGTGTTCATCGGCTCCGGCAGCTACCACCTGATCGACCAGAACCTGGACCCTCTTCCTGTGAGACCCTCAGTATTGATATATCTGTGTCTCACATTGAAACATGGAACCACAGAGTGTGCGTTAAATAAAATAATCTCTGTGTGTTTCAGGACTTCTGGCTCTCCGTCCTCTACAAGCGACTCGTGGGTCCGGAGGTCCTGAAAGTAGAATTCTCGGGTCTGGCTCGCAGTAAGAGAGTCAGGCTGTACCTGCACTGTGCCAACACACGCAGGTAAATAGATATATATATATATATATATATATACAGTGGGGCAAAAAAGTATTTAGTCAGCCACCAATTGTGCAAGTTCTCCCACTTAAAAAGATGAGATGCCTGTAATCTTCATCCTAGGTACACTTCAACTATGAGACAGAATGGGGGGAAAGAATCCAGGAAATCACATTGTAGGATTTTTAATGAATTAATTGGTAAATTCCTCGGTAAAATAAGTATTTGGTCACCTACAAACAAACGAGATGTCTGGCTCTCACAGACCTGTAACTTCTTCTTTAAGAGCCTCCTCTGTCCTCCACTCGTTAACTGTATTAATGGCACCTGTTTGAACTCGTTATCAGTATAAAAGACACCTGTCCACAACCTCAAACAGTCACACTCCAAACTCCACTATGGCCAAGACCAAAGAGCTGTCAAAGGACACCAGAAACTAAATGGTAGACCTGCACCAGGCTGGGAAGACTGAATCTGCAATAGGTAAGCAGCTTGGTGTGAAGAAATCAACTGTGGGAGCAATTATTAGAAAATGGAAGACATACAAGACCACTGATAATCTCCCTCGATCTGGGGCTCCACGCAAGATCTCATCGCGTGGGGTCAAAATGATCACAAGAACGGTGAGCAAAGATCCCAGAACCACACGGGGGGACCGAGTCAATGACCTGCAGAGAGCTGGGACCAAAGTAACAAAGGCTACCATCAGTAACACACTACGCCGCCAGGGACTCAAACCCTGCAGTGCCAGACGTGTCCCCCTGCTTAAGCCAGTACATGTCCAGGCCCGTCTGAAGTCTGCTAGAGAGCATTTAGATGATCCAGAAGAGGATTGGGAGAATGTCATATGGTCAGATGAAACCAAAATAGAACTTTTTGGTAAAAACTCAACTAGACGTGTTTGGAGGAGAAAGAATGCTGAGTTGCATCCAAAGAACACCTACTGTGAAACATGGGGGTGGAAACATCATGCTTTGGGGCTGTGTTTCTGCAAAGGGACCAGGACCACTGATCCGTGTAAAGGAAAGAATGAATGGGGCCATGTATCGTGAGATTTTGAGTGACAACCTCCTTCCATCAGCAAGGGCATTGAAGATGAAACGTGGCTGGGTCTTTCAGCATGACAATGATCCCAAACACACCGCCCGGGCAACGAAGGAGTGGCTTCGTAAGAAGCATTTCAAGGTCCTGGAGTGGCCTAGCCAGTCTCCAGATCTCAACCCCATAGAAAATCTTTGGAGGGAGTTGAAAGTCCGTGTTGCCCAGCGACAGCCCCAAAACATCACTGCTCTAGAGGAGATCTGCATGGAGGAATGGGCCAACATACCAGCAACAGTGTGTGAACACCTTGTGGAGACTTACAGAAAACCTTTGACCTCTGTCATTGCCAACAAAGGGTATATAACAAAGTATTGAGATGAACTTTTGTTATTGACCAAATACTTATTTTACACCATCATTTGCAAATAAATTCTTTAAAAATCAGACAATGTGATTTCCCCCATTCTGTCTCATAGTTGAAGTGAGGATGAACATTACAGGCCTCTCATCTGTTTAAGTGGGAGAACTTGCACAATTGGTGGCTGACTAAATACTTTGCCCCACTGTGTATATATATATATATATATATATATATATATATATATATATTCAGTCTTTATTTACCCCCCTGTATCATGTCCCTGCAGTAACTCTGTGTCTCCTCTACAGTAACTCTGTCTCCGTGTCTCCTCTTCAGTAACTCTGTGTCTCCTCTACAGTAACTCTGTGTCTCCTCTACAGTAACTCTGTGTCTCCGTGTCTCCTCTTCAGTAACTCTGTGTCTCTGTGTCTCCTCTTCAGTAACTCTGTGTCTCTGTGTCTCCTCTACAGTAACTCTGTGTCTCCGTGTCTCCTCTACAGTAACTCTGTGCTCCTCTACAGTACTGTCTCCTCTTCAGTAACTCTGTGTCTCCTCTACAGTAACTCTGTGTCTCCTCTACAGTAACTCTGTGTCTCCTCTACAGTAACTCTGTGTCTCTGTGTCTCCTCTTCAGTAACTCTGTGTCTCTGTGTCTCCTCTTCAGTAACTCTGTGTCTCCTCTTCAGTAACTCTGTGTCTCTGTGTCTCCTCTACAGTAACTCTGTGTCTCCTCTACAGTAACTCTGTGTCTCCGTGTCTCCTCTTCAGTAACTCTGTGTCTCCTCTACAGTAACTCTGTGTCTCCTCTACAGTAACTCTGTGTCTCCGTGTCTCCCTCTTCAGGTAACTCTGTGTCTCGGCTCCTAGCAGTAACTCTGTGTCTCCTCTACAGATAACGCTGTGTCTCCTCCGTGCCTCCTCTTGCAGTAACTCTGTGTCTCCTGCTAGCAGTAACTCTGTCCTCCTCTACAGTAACTCTGTGTCTCCGTGGTCGCCTCTTCAGTAACTCTGTGTCTGCGCGTGTCTCGGGCTCCTCTTGCATCAGTAACTCTGTGTCTCCGTGTCTCACTCTACGGCAGTAACTCATGTCCTCTGCTCTAGCAGTAACTCTGGGTCCTCCTCTACAGTAATAACTCTGTCTCCTCTACATGTAACTCTGTGTCTCCTCTGTCAGTACATCTGTGTCTCCGTGTCTGCCTCTAGGCAGTAACTCGGTGTCTCTGTGTCTGCCTCTTACGAGTAACTCTGTGTCTCCGTGTCTCCTCTACAGTAACTCTGTGTCTCCGTGTCTCCTCTTCAATAACTCTGTGTCTCTGTGTCTCCTCTACAGTAACTCTGTGTCTCCGTGTCTCCTCTTCAGTAACTCTGTGTCTCTGTGTCTCCTCTACAGTAACTCTGTGTCTCCGTGTCTCCTCTACAGTAACTCTGTGTCTCCGTGTCTCCTCTACAGTAACTCTGTGTCTCTGTGTCTCCTCTGCAGTAACTCTGTGTCTCCTCTTCAGTAACTCTGTGTTTCCGTGTCTCCTCTACAGTAACTCTGTGTCTCCGTGTCTCCTCTGCAGTAACTCTGTGTCTCCTCTACAGTAACTCTGTGTCTCCGTGTCTCCTCTGCAGTAACTCTGTGTCTCCTCTTCAGTAACTCTGTGTCTCCGTGTCTCCTCTTCCTACTCTTGATAACTCTGTGTCTCCTCTACAGTAACTCTGTCTCCTCTTCAGTAACTCTGTGTTTCCGTGTCTCCTCTTCAGTAACTCTGTGTCTCCGTGTCTCCTCTTCAGTAACTCTGTGTCTCCGTGTCTCCTCTACAGTAACTCTGTGTCTCCGTGTCTCCTCTACAGTAACTCTGTGTCTCCTCTACAGTAACTCCGTGTCTCCGTGTCTCCTCTACAGTAACTCTGTGTCTCCTCTACAGTAACTCTGTGTCTCCGTGTCTCCTCTACAGTAACTCTGTGTCTCCTCTACAGTAACTCCGTGTCTCCTCTACAGTAACTCTGTGTCTCCGTGTCCCCTCTTCAGTTTCAGCCGTGGAGCAGTGACTCTGATGTCTCTGAACCTCGGCCCCCGGACGCTCTCTATCTCCTCCCCTCTCTTCTCCTCCGGATCAGTGGAGGCGTTTGTTCTGGAGTCGGGGCAGCCGGGGGAGGAGGGCCTTATTTCCAGGTGCTCCTAATCACATTACTCTGCCCCCCCCCCCCTAAAAGCACACTAGCACTCAGTGTTCTGTCCTCAGGTCACGAGAGAAGTCACGTTTAGTGTCCCTCTCACTCAGAGCAGCTCTCAGACCCTCTGCCTGCAGCTACTGCCTGCAACCCTTCACTGGGACCATCACAACCTTTTATTATAAGAAATAATAAAAGGTTCGTAAAATGTTCTCTGAGAAACGACTCCTTCAGGCTGCTTCGTTTATTCTCGAGCATCAGGAAAAGATCTCTGACGTTTAGTTCAGTGATTCTCAAACTTTTTTCAATCATGTTCCCCCTTTGAAAAGATACTCCGCCAAGTACCCCCTGATCAGCGCAAACACAATTTGTTAGGGAAGAAATGCCTATAAAGAGGTACAGCACAGCGCTGCACCATCAGTGTCTGATTTATTAAAACATCAACAGTCACTGAGAAACACTTAAATGCTACATTTCAAATGTTTACAATCCATCACTAAATTCATGGCAAACCAATTTTAACATCAAGCAATAACACAGAGACGACATTAGTTGCTTTGAACTAGGGCCGGGACTCGATTCAAAAAATTAATCTAATTAATTAGAGGCTTTGTAATTAATTAATCGAAATTAATCGCATTTTTAATCACATATAAATATTTGACCTGAGAACAGTGAAAAGCAATTTTTTTCACATGGATTTTAGTATACCATTAGGCGGATTCACACCGCAGTACTTTTCCCACAAAGGTTCATGAGAATTTAGTTCATGAGAACTCTTTGAACCTGGGGGAGGATTAGGCAAATGAAGCCACTGACGTGACTTCTTCTTCTTCTGCTTTGGGTTTACTGGCAGGCCGCAAACCACTTCACGGCGTATACTGCCACCCGGAGTCCCCGGCCGGAAGTCCCCGGAGTTGGGGACTGGCTTCAGTAGAAGCTGCTGGGAGTCCCAGCAGCTTCTACTGAAGCCTTCCGAGTAAATCGCCAGAACGCCGACACCTCCTCATCTCCACCGCTCCCATGTTTTATTTTGTGTTGCCATAAGTTAGTCTCTCTGCGTTTCTGCGCTGGGCTAATGCTAATAATGCTAATGCGAGGATAATAAAATGGCGGCTTCACAAAACTTTTTGGGAGTTTTACGGGGCGTGGTTTGCAATCCGCCCAGCCAATCAGAAATATAGCTATTTTCTCACAAGAGAGCCGTACGAAAGTCCCTGCTCTCTAGCAGCTCTCTGCTCTCTAGCAGGGACTTTCGTGGGGGTAAAAAGGTTCTCATGAACTAATTTTAGTACCGGCTCTTTTTGGTGTGAACGCGATAAAAGAGGCTAACGTCCACGCTAGCTTCCACGCTAGCTGCTATATGTTTTGCATTGAGGTGATACTTGAGGCTTGATGTGCTGCGGTGATATGCGAATTCCTTTTTGCATAATTTGCACACAACCGTGCTCTTATCGACGCTTCCATCCGTCCGTTTTTTAAAACAACATTTCCCACTGTTGTTCACTGTGGTTTGTTGTTGTCTGAAGTCATGAACGTTAGTTGGTGCTCTAGTATAATCGGTACGCCTGCAACTCATCCAGTGAGAAACGTTCCGCGGTGCAAAAATAAGTGCGATTAAAATGCGTTAATTTTTTTAACGCGTTAATTTTTGTGTAATTAATTAATCTTAATTAACGCGTTAAAGTCCCGGCCCTACTTTGAACTGATCTGTTTAATAAGTTGTACTCAATGTAGTGAAACATGTGCTTGAGCTTCACTGAGAGCCTTCGTCATTCTGACAGGGAGGCTAACTGCAGTTATTACACTTCACGTTTTGAAATATGTGAAACTCTGTTCATTAAAACCCACACGGCTCAAACTTCCTTACTTTTCCTAAACATTTTATTTTTTTTATTTTTTTTAACATAAAATAAATCTCATGTACCCCCTGCAGTACTCCAACGTACCCCTAGGGGTCCGCGTACCCCCATTTGAGAACCACTGGTTTAGTGGATAGTTCGAATGAAGGAGAGCTCAGTATTCCTCTTGTTTAAAGTAGAGTAGTACATACTTGTTATCAGGGGATGCAGTACTTCAGTAGATAGACGTGTACAGGAGCAGAAAACAGAAATACTCTAGTAGAAGTGTGTATAATGTGTACTTAGTGCAGTATTGACATATTTTACCCTCTGCAGACCATTTACATGCACTAACGCCTACAGAAAACACATTGGAGGAGAGGGAGCAGCACAGAAGGTAGAACAGACAGTACTTCAGTAGATAGACGTGTACAGGAGCATAATATAGAAATACTCAAGTAGAAGTATGTCTAATGTGTACTTAGTGCAGTATTGATACATATTCTAGTCATGAACACAGAGATTTTAGCCTCTGCAGACCATTTACATGCACTCACACCTACAGGAGAGGGAACAGCACAGAAGGTAGAACAGGGGATGCAGTACTTGAGTAGATAGACGTGTACAGGAGCAGAACATAGAAATACTCTAGTAGTAATACTATAGTAGAAGTGTGTCTAATGTGTACTTGTATGTGTTGTTGATGTGTCCCTCTGCAGGTCCGTGAAGCTGAACGGAGAGACGCTTCTGATGCCTGACGATGAAACTCTTCCAGATCTCACAGGAGCTCGTCTTCCTCCGGCTGAGCGTCTGCAGATTCCTGCTTTCTCGCTCGGCTTCTTCGTCCTGAAAGAAGCTCGCGCCGCCGCCTGCCGCTGATCAAAGCATCAACTCAGAGACAAGACATCAACTCAGAGACAAGACATCAACTCAGAGACAAGACATCAACTCAGAGACAAAGCATCAACTCAGAGACAAGACATCAACTCAGAGACAAAACATCAACTCAGAGACAAGACATCAAGACATCAACTCAGAGACAAGACATCAACTCAGAGACAAAACATCAACTCAGAGACAAAACATCAACTCAGAGACAAAGCATCAACTCAGAGACAAAGCATCAACTCAGAGACAAAGCATCAACTCAGAGACAAAGCATCAACTCAGAGACAAGACATCAACTCAGAGACAAAGCATCAACTCAGAGACAAGACATCAACTCAGAGACAAAGCATCAACTCAGAGACAAGACATCAACTCAGACACAAGACATCAACTCAGAGCGTTTAAACACTCAGAGCCTTTGAACGATCAGAGCCTTTGAACACTCGGAGCCTTTGAACACTCGGAGCCTTTGAACACTCGGAGCCTTTGAACACTCGGAGCCTTTGAACACTCGGAGCCTTTGAACACTCGGAGCCTTTGAACACTCGGAGCCTTTGAACACTCGGAGCCTTTGAACACTCAGAGCCTTTGAACACTCAGAGCCTTTGAACACTCAGAGCCTTTGAACACTCAGAGCCTTTGAACACTCAGAGCCTTTGAACACTCAGAGCCTTTGAACACTCAGAGCCTTTGAACACTCAGAGCCTTTGAACACTCAGAGCCTTTAAACACTCAGAGCCTTTGAACACTCAGAGCCTTTAAACACTCGGAGCCTTTGAACACTCGGAGCCTTTGAACACTCGGAGCCTTTGAACACTCGGAGCCTTTGAACACTCAGAGCCCTGAAGCTGCAGGTGCCGAACTGATCGCTGCTCGCACTGGGACCAATCACTACGTTCCTTTATTTCCTAAAGAGAGGATCATATATGCTGGGTTGTATTATTTATAAAGTATTTTATAATGTGCTCATAAAGTGTTGTATTACATTTGTAATGGCAATTCCCTGTTCCTATGTCCTATATATTTTTGCCATTACTTCCCAGAAGGGCTGAAGAGTGATCCAGACGCAGACAGATGACTTTCCGGTCCTTGGTGCAGTTTATAATGAGGTTTATTAAGCGTTTACATTCCAGGGGTTAATTGTACAGTTTAGTTGTTGTGATGAGCATCTGCCGGGCTGCTGGAATCGGGATGCTCTCTCCCTCTGTGTCCTCCCTCTCCGGTCACCTATGACCTCTTTATATACACCCGGTGCAGCTAAACCCCACCACCAAGTGTTCAAGATAATATTGCACTATACGTTTAACTTAAATAAACTGACACACCAACAACACCCATAAAATGGCTCCGACAACATTGAACTGCTGGAAGCTTCAAATCAATGTCTGTT